GAAAAAGAGGGGGAGAATAAAAAGGTTTAAAAACAAAAGCCAGGAGGAGGAAAGAAAATAAACGACAAAAACCCAAAAGATGACAAAAGAAGTAAAGAAAAAGTCGAAAAGATTGGAACCCCAAAACTAACAAATGAAAAGGAGCAGGAAATTTGATCAGGAGGATGTGCAATTTTGGATCAACACTTTCAAAAGAACGAAAAGAAAGATCATTAGGGCAAGAAACCCCGGACATGCCCATGTTACGCAATTGTGCTCCCTTTAGACCGCGCAAGACATAAGGGTGGCTAAGGGCTCTGCCCGCAAAGGCGCACGCGTAGCAGACGCGGTACCATTGGCAACTACATGACATACCCCCACACGAAAAAAATATAATTAAAATTCGTGCATATCGTGCGATTTTCGTTCGGCGACGCAGACTTCTCGTCCGGCGGTCAACACGGCGCCCGGGCAAGCCTTCAGCTGGTGCCAACATGCGTAAACCAAGAACGTCCGCCGAATCCGTGCTTTCGGACGGAGCAACTTAGGACAGTCCGGCCGACGGGAGTGTCGCGCGCCGGCGACGATTGCGGCGTGGTGGGTGGGTGTACGAAGCGCCGATGGCACGACCACCTCCCTGCATCGCAGACCGGGCAAGGAGGGGCCTGCTCGCGTTCCGCGGAACAGGAGATCTCTCCCCTCCCCTGAAAAAAGAAAGCACTCGTGCCCGACGAGGCACCGTTGGCGCGGATCACTCGCTACTCGAGTAGCAGCGCTAGGAGCTCTTCTCGAGGATGCGCACGCGCGTTCGACGGACAAGTACAGCCGCCTCGCCGGCCGCGGAGTGTGGCCAGTCGGGCGCGAACTCGCTGTCCGAGCGCCTCATGTTGATCCCAGCCATCCGCAAGGACAGCACGACTGGCTACAAGAACGTGACCTTCAACCGCAGCAAAAACAAGTTCCAGGCGGAGGTCCAGGATGGCGGCAAGCGTATCTTCCTCGGCTGCTTCGACACCGCCCAGGGGGCGGCCACCGCCTACGCTCGCTCAGAGTACGGCCGCGCCGACGCCGCAAAGCTGCTGCAGCCTCGCCCAGCTCTCACTGCCGCTGGCGCCGAGGCGATACAGCTGGCGGAGAGGGAGGGTCTCACCCTAGCCATCAGCAGCAGCAACAACACCGGCTACAAAGGCGTCTGCTACAACCCGAATCAGACAGGCAGCAAGAAGTACCAGCTGAGGGTGGGGGCTGGCAGCAGGAAGGTTCACCTCGGCGTCTTCGCCACCGCCGAGA